TGGTGACTTCGATAAGTCTTGTCTAGACTTTTAACTTTTGAATGCTCATTGTTGCTAGATTTTCGTGAAATTCCCAAGAGAAATTGAGGATAGTGTTCTGCTTTTCGACACTAAAAGGGGAATTACACATTGAGCTACCAAGGGGAAGACAAGGTATTATTTCCTTTTATGCATTTTGTGCAATCTATTCCAAATATAGTTGTAACTTGCAATGAAGAATTGTTTTTACACTGGTTCTGGTTTGTGAACTAGAAACTGCATTCAACCACATCTTGCCAATTCTAATTGATATGTCGTAAAACTGTCCATTCTTGGCATCATTTTTCGCCTTTGATGTCACATGTAGTAGGTGATAAGTTGTACTTGTATTTTCTAGGCCTTATTATCACATTGCTCAAAGTTGAACGATTTGGGTGAAGAGAATCCCATTTCTTAATAGCAGTGATTGGAGACGAATATATAACAAGAACAAGAGCTATGAGACCATTGTTGACATCTTGGATGATCACGAGGTTTTTACCCGGTGTTCGATGGGGCAAAGCTGTGAATGGACCATGTAGGGGTGGACATTGTTCCGGTTCTGAACTGGTACCGGAACCGGAGCCCATAAATTTGGAGAACCGGAATCGTAACAAAAAATGAGGAATGCAGTTCCGGTTCCTATATTTTAGAACTGGAACTGGTGGTTATGTTTCTCAATTTCATTTCAATTTTTTGTTTACCTGTATTTATAGTAATATTAATCATTGGATGCTTGTGTGTGTTAAAAATTGCGATCATTTTTTTTTGGTTTAAAGTGTGTTGGATTTCTTTTGCCTATGGTTGTGTGGAGTAGTGTTGAATCTAATATGTAAAATAGCGCCGGCGGGCGTTGTGCAGTTGGCAAAGACAATGACTGTCAAGTGGGTAGATCTGAGTTCAATTTTTGGCAATTGTAGTGGGGGGCAACTATGCTAAACATAAGGTCTCTGTAAGTACCAGGTGCAGGTTCCATTTTTTACCATTGGTCTCTGTATGCTAAACATAAGGTCTCTGTATGCTACACCGTTTTATATTACTCCGAACCTTGATGAGCAGGGCTCAAACCTTTCATTTTTCAATTTAAATTTATCAAATACATAATTTCCTGTTTGACGAGAAATAAAAATTGGAAAAGCATATAAGTTAGTAAGTGTAACTAACGTTGTTCTTGGATGTTCACCTTGTTCCAAATATAGTTGTAACTTGCAATGAAAAATCGTTTCAAATCATGAGTCTGTCCATTCTTGACATTTTTTTACATTTGATGGCACATGTAATAGGCGATAAGTTTATTTTCTTGGCCTCCGGACCGTATTGCACAATGTTGAGCGGTTGGGGAGAAGAAAATCCGCATTCTACTCGGTGTTTCGTGGGGAAAAGCTGTGAAGGTACTATGTTGTACTAGTGCTAAATATATTGTATTAGAAATAATGATAGAATGAATTCACAGCTCAAATATTCATCATATTTAATACATCTCTAATGATGTCTATAAATATTACAAAGTAACTAATGGAGACAATCAAGGAAAGTGAGTGGAAGTTAATCAAATATCTTGATTGGCAATTTGATTCTAATCAAGGATATTATCCTAATCATCAAGATATTACACTATTCCACACTATTCCTTTCTTTTGTTTGATATTTCTAACACCCCCCTCAAGTTGAATCATCCGTTTCGGATGTTTAACTTGCTTAATGTTGCTTGAAAGACTCCAGCTGGTACTGCTTTTGTGAGAATGTCTGTCAATTGATCTTCAGATTGGACATATGGAAGACTGATGATATCTGCCTCGAGTTTCTCTTTGATGAAGTGACGATCAATCTCAATGTGCTTGGTACGATCATGTTGTACTGGATTCTCTGATATACGAATAGCAGCGGTATTATCGCACATCAGTCTACATTTACCCTTCAGCGGATACCCCAAATCTTTAAGGAGTTTTCTTAGCCAAAGAACTTCAGTAATTCCTCGAGCGATCCCTCTGAATTCTGCTTCTGCACTTGATAGAGCAACTACCTTTTGTTTCTTGCTTTTCCATGTGACCAAATTACCTCAGCTCCAACAAAGGTGAAATACCCTGAAGTGGATTTTTGATCGTTTGGATTCCCTGCCCAGTCAGCATCTGTGTAGGCTTGAATATCTAAGTGACCATGTTTTTTGAATGTAACTCCCATATTAATGGTCCCCTTAAGATATCTCACAATTCGGATAGCCGCATCCCAATGTTCCTTCTGTGGTTTGTGCATGAACTGGCTTACCACTCCGACAGCATATGCAATATCAGGTCTTGTGAGTGCGAGGTATATAAGTCTGCCTACAAGTCTTCGGTACTTATCTTGATCAGCTTGTATTCCCCCTCATTAATTTGAAGTCCGTGGTTAACCATCATCGGAGTGACAGCCGGTTTGCAATCCATTAATCCAGTTTCAACTAAAAGATCAAGGATATACTTCTTTTGACAAATAAAGATCCCCTCTTGAGTTTTGAGAACTTCAATGCCAAGAAAAAAGTTAAGTTCTCCAAGATCCTTCATGTCGAATTCCTGGAATAGCTTGCCTTTTAGTGTAGCCATCTCTTCTATGTCACTACCAGTAATTATCATGTCATCCACATAGATAATGAAACATGTTATGAGCTTGCTTCGCCTTTTTAGAAACAGGGTATGATCAGAGTTGCTTTGACGATATCCATATTTCTTCATGGCTATCGTGAATCTGCCAAACCATGCACGTGGAGATTGTTTTAGACCATACAAAGCTTTTCTCAATCTACAACCTTCGCCTTTTCTAAAATCTGATGAGAACCCAAGTGGTGCTTCCATGTAAACCTCATCTTTTAGTTCTCCATGGAGAAAAGCATTCTTCACATCAAACTGATATAAGGGCCAATCTAGATTAGCTGCTACGGAGAATAATACTCGGATAGTATCAATTTTGGCTACTGGTGAGAAAGTCTCAGAGTAGTCAATACCATAAGTTTGAGTATATCCTTTAGCTACTAATCTAGCCTTATATCTCTCGATTGTACCATCTGCTTTGTGTTTGACTGTAAATACCCATCGGCATCCGACAGGTTTCTTTCCTGGGTAGAGTTGACATTTCTCCCATGTGTTGTTTTTCTCTAGCGCCCTTCATCTCCTCCTCCATTGCTTTTCTCCATTCTGGTATTTGTATGGCTTCGTCTACTGTTCTAGGAACTTCATGGGTGGATGTGTGAAAAGCCTGCGACACTCCCCCTGACCAGATCAGCAACAGGATATCTTGAATTCCGAGGGATGTATTCTGGTTCATATCTGACTGGAGCAATTCCCCGATTCTTCCGTGGTGGGAGAACATATCTGTTTGATTTATTCAATTCTTCCACGCTATCATTAGATTTATCAATGCAATCATCAGGAGTGGGAGAAATACTAACCGGATGAGTGGGAGAAATAGTAACCTCAGGAGTCTTTTCATACGGAGTAGAATCAGACATGAGTTCTGAGTTGTTGGACTGTTCAATGTTCTCAAAAATTGATCCCACAGAGCGACTTACTTCCTCGGTTGGGACAGTTTCAGGTGGCAAGACCGGGCTGTGTAACCACTCTAGAGAGTCATTCGTAACTTTCTCCCCCCTGACTACTAGAGTGGTTATGGAAATAGTACTCGGTTTCCAAAAAATTACAATCCATTGTCGTGTACATCCGACGAGAAATAAGATCATAACATCTGTATCCCCTTTTGTGAACCCCATACCCAACAAAGACACATCGGACGGCACAATGATCAAATTTTGTCCGTTTGATTTTTGGGATATGTACATATATAGTGCAGCCAAACACACGAAGAGTGAGAGTCAAAGAGGTAGGAACAGTGGAAAATTTTGCAAGTGTATCGATGGGTGTTTTGTGATTTAGGATTTTTGTTGGAAGACGATTTATGAGGTAAATGGTGGTTGCAATTGCCTCAGGTCTGTAATAAATCGGAACATTGGACTCGATCATAAGGGCCCTAGTGATTTCGAGTATAATCCGATTCTTACTTTCAACAACGCCATTTTGTTGAGGGGTCTAAGGACAAGTGGTTTGATGGATAAGATCTTTTTCCTTGCAGAAATTTTCCATGGGATGATTTATGTATTCTCCTCCATTATCAGATCGAAGAATACAGATCTGTTTTTGGTATTGTGTGTGGATCAATTTGTAAAATGAGGTGAACTTTTCAAAAACTTCAGATTTATGTTTAAGAAAGTACACCCAGGTCATACGGGTACAATCATCAACAAACAATAAAAAATATTGATACCCATTTGGACTTGGTTCTGGAGATGGACCCCACACATCAGAATGGATTAATGAGAAAGGTTGTGATGCAACAGTGTTATTTAACGGATAGGAATGTTTATGACTTTTGGCTAGAATACAACTGTTGCAATGAAACTGACATGATTTATTGAATAACTTTGGAAAGAGAATTTTGAGATACCCCCAAGATGGATGTCCCAAATGACGATGCCACAGCCATGCCTGCCTGTCCACTGTCCCATGAGCAAGTGTAGTTGTTCCATAGTGACCAACTTCATCAACATAGTACAGGCCATGACGCTTAGAACCACGCCCAATGATCTTCCCCGTCCGAATATCCTATAATAAGCAAAAAGTGGGGTGCATTAGGACCATGCAATTTAATTTTTTTAGTGACATGGCTTATTGAGAGCAATTTATGAGACAGTGTGGGAACATATAGGTAATTATCGAGTCGGATAGATGTCGATATAGATATTGGACCGGTGCCCTCGATACGAGAATAATCCCCATTGACCGTTTGAATATGAGGTTTCTTAGACCAATTTAAGGAATTAAAATCAGAACGGTCAAAGGACATTGTGTCAGTTGCCCCGCAATAAAAAATCCACCGAGTATTTTTAATTGGGTTCGTATTGGGCCTGATTGATGGGCTGGGAGGAGATATCAAAAATCCCTTCCCCCCTCTTCCGTAACCCTACCCGCTGTTTCGCCCTTCTCCTTCGCTGCTCCATTCTCTGCGCCGACTTCATCTTCTTCACCTCTCTCTTTTCTTTCGCCTCTTTCCATGGTGATTCCATCGAAAAATTGAGGCGTTTGGTTGGCGGTGATGCTGGTGGTCTCTGGATTGCCCATTACTTCCCCGGCGGCTTCTTCCCCCTCTTTCGGCTATCCGGCCACCACTCGTGATACCCAATTCTTTTGAAGCAACCTTCGAATATGTGCTTCGTCCCACCACAGTAGGTACATCTTAACTGTGATTTATCTTCATATGTGCGAGATGACAATTGGTGATTTTCCGATCGCACCGCCACCGCCCGTGTGGCTGCAAGGCCACCGCCGATTCCTGAGGGAGATTCTCCCAATGATGGTCCTCCCCCTTCTCCTTTCATAATTCCTTTTCTTGCTACCTCTCTTCGGATTTGAGCGTATGCTTCTTCTATCGATGGAAGATGTTCGGTTTTGAGTATGTCCTGTTTTTCGGCATCAAATTCCTCATTTACAGCATTTAGGAATTGATATAGACGATTTTGTTGTTGAATTTGTGTAAAAATCATCATATCCTCTGGACATTTCATTGGGTTGGGTCGGCGTCTGTCGATTTCTTTCCAAACTGCTTGAAGCTGGCTATAAACTTTTTCCAGGGACTGTGCTCCTTGTTTGATCTCACTGGCCTTGACCGTTAAGTCATAGATTTGTAGGGGATCTTTTCCGAAGCCGTACGTGGCTTCGATTCCCTTCCACAAATCCCACGCAGTCGGATATTCGATGTATTGATTTACAATATCCGACTCTATGTTTTCTAGTATCCAAGTAATCACTGTTGAATCTGTTTGCCTCCACTTGATATATTTGGGATCATCGGTTTTGAGAGGTGCGACAGTGATGTGCTTGAGCCGCCCTCTCCCGTCCAGAGCAAAGCTCATCTTGGGCGCCCAAATGGCGTAGTTCTTATCGTTGAGCTTTTCCACCAAATTCAACGGTTGATTCGAGGAGCTCTCGATAAGTTCGGCCTTGGGTGCTAAATTTTGGAAATTTTGCAGAATTTCCAAAATTTGTGCAAGATTCACAGGCTGCTTCATTGGATCAAACTCCCATGTGTAGGTGGAGCTCTCTGGAGTTTGTTCGGACATTTTTTTATGGTAAATGATGAAAGCTGCGTTTCATTCAATCGTTTGATCGAATGATGGCTCTGATACCATATTAGAAATAATGATAGAATGAGTTCACAGCTCAAATATTCATCATATTTAATACATCTCTAATGATGTCTATAAATATTACAAAGTTACTAATGGAGACAATCAAGGAAAGTGAGTGGAAGTTAATCAAATATCTTGATTGGTAATTTGATTCTAATCAAGGATATTATCCTAATCATCAAGATATTACACTATTCCACACTATTCCTTTCTTTTTTTTGATATTTCTAACATATTGGCCATATCATTTTGATGTAATTGGTTTAGATTTTTAAATGTGAATCAAGTCAATTTTTTCATTAACATGTTCACAGGTAGCTGCACCTAGTAAAAAAATTTATTTGTATTTTTTTAGTTTTATATAGTAGTGCCTCAGTCCAAATAAAGTCTAGTCCAATTGCCCAAAGCTCAAAAAACAGCCCTTAAAATTACCCTCTTACCCAATAACTAAAAAAAATACTCCCCTGCATTCATATCTCATATTCTCATGAGGATGAGTTTGGACTGCAATTCCCACACTTTCTATGCGACTCGGTGAGAGGGTCAGAGACACATCGAGTTCATATTCGCAATTCCCAAGAGAGTCCAGGTATTATAATCTTTTGCTTTTGTGAATTGTCTTTTTAAATAATAAAGAAATTAAAAATTAGGTTTATCTATGAATTCTTTGTTTTGATTTCCTTTTTTTCTATTTTCTATGAAATGAAATTGTTTGTTATGTTGATTATTATTATACCAAATGATATGAATTGGTAAGTGATAACCTTAAAACTATATTAATTGTCAATTGATATACTTAATATTTTATTGCAATTTTTTGTTATAGATTTACTAAAAAAGTTTATTGAATTTTTATATTTTTAGATAATGGAGATGTTTTTTTTAAATAGAAAACCCCTTCAACACCCGATTCTAGACCATCTGCACCTTTACTAGCTAAAGAAATCTATTTAAGTGATCTTTTTGAATCCTATAGAAAGAAAGAGTTTTAGATTATCTCTCTAATCAAAGTGATGAAGTAAGTAGAAAATATTTGATTATAAAACCATGTCAACCATAAGGCCATGATTTTCCGAGTGGAATGATTGGGAATAGTTCAAGGCATTTTATTGAAGATTGGTTTGAAAAATATCGTAATGCGTTAAAATATAGTGTGAAAGCAAAAAAACCTATTGTTTGTGTTGTTACTTGTTTAGAAATCAATTTGGAAGACAAGGTGGAAGTGGTGCATTTGTTGTGGAAGGTTTTAATAGTTGGAACAAGATAGAAAGAATTTCAAGTCATGGGTGTTATGTGAGTAGTTTCCATAGTAAACTACTTGAGAAATGTGAAGCTCTAACTAAACAAGATCAATTTATACATGTTGCTTTTAATAAGCGCAATGATTTGGTGAAGAATGAATACCGATTTTGGTTGAATTCTTCCATTAATGCTTGTTAGATTTTGCTGAGGTGCGCATTATCATTTTGTGGTCATGATGAGTAAGAAAATTCGCTCTTTAAAGGGGATTTTCTAAAACCTATTGTTGGAAATTTTAGATAAATTGGACATTTTCAGACATAAATTCGGTAAGGTCCACAAAATTATTTTCCGAAATAATTATGGACGTTTCCCAGGGGCGACCATCTGTGTTCCATGTTAGAGAAGGAAGGTGGTTTCTCTGGACGGCCGGTGGTCGAAGTCCTGTCGCCCTATACAGCCGCAGAACTACCCTTCAAACCTGCCTTTTCCCCTGGATTCTTCATCCTTTCTGGGCTTCAGCCGCACAAAGTTCTGGATTTTCCTTTTTTTGTATGCGGAATGTATGGGAGAATTTCCTTCCTTTGGAAGTGTGTAGAAGTTGTTCTCAATTGTATTGGATGTGTAGGTGCAATAGATCATCCTTGAAGTGTAATAAACATTTTCATAAGTGTATTTCAATGTTACCTGCTCACTTGCAAGTCCCATTTTCTTCTCTTTTGCACCTTATTTTGAGCGTTTAGGTCTCCTCCAACCTTAGTTAGAGAACACCCCGCTTCTTTTGACTTAGCCATTTTTTGAGGCATCTTTGCTCCTATGGCGTCGCCACATTTCCAAAGTCCTCAGGTCGCTCATGCGACCAGCAGATCTTATGCTCTGGACTTAGCCGTTTTCTTAGGCTTTCTCGCCACGACGCCATCCTCTTGTTAGTCGCGCTTTCCTATGGTCGCCCTGGCGACCGTGGAGCGAGCACTCTCTGACAACCTTTAGACTTGGTTGCCAACTGGGTTCAGCACTTCATCCCCTGGTGGGCGTCTTAGTGCGAATCACCATGTACCTCTATTTAGCGATCTCTTTGGTCGCTTCCTTTTTTTTGAACGATGAAATTCAAGAAGAGAAGTGCCAGAACGATGAACTCATTAAATTCAAAAGGGAAACATGGCAGGAGTACAATCTACTGATAAAATTTGATAAGATTGGCAGCATTCCACACCCGCGGGACGTCGCCTCCCGCTGGTGTTTGTAGTCTGAACATTCCATCGGCCAACATTTCCTTTATGATGTATGGCCCTTCAAAACTCTTGGCAAACTTCCCCCCATCGGTCGACCGGCTGACCTCCCTTTTTCTTAGGACCCAGTCGCCTATTCCGAACTGCCTTGGTCGCACCCTTTGGTCATGGTACGACTTAACTTGCCGACGATAATTCTCTGCCCATATGTACGCCCTTTCTCTTCGCTCATCTATGAGATGCAACTCTGCCCTTAGGTTCCCTTCATTCTCTTGGGCGTCAAATGTCTCCACCCTATAGCTTAGCAACGAGGTCTCAGCCGGGGCCCTTGCCTCAAACCCATATGTGAGCGCAAACGGAGTTTCACCCGTAGCTTTCCTTGGAGTAGTTCTGTAGGTCCACAAGATGTATGGGAACTCCTCCACCCAGGCGCTTTTACACTCCATTATCTTCTTCTTCAGGCCATCCACAATGGTACGGTTAGTGTTCTCGACCTGCCCATTGGTCTAGGGGTACCCAACCGTAGCGTAAATGTGTTTTATGCCCCAACTCTGTAGAAACTCATTGAACCCCTTAGCCTCGAACTGGGGCACCACAAAGCGGCACAACATTTGCTTGGACACAAATTTCCTCATTTGCTCTTCAGTGCCGGTCGATACTGGGGCAGCCTCGACCCACTTGGTAAAGTAGTCGATCGCGACCACCAGGTACATATTATTCCCTGCTCCTCTGGGAAGGATGCTGACTAGGTCAATACCCCACCGAGCAAAGGGAATTGCAGTGCTGATCGGGGTGTAATTCGTCGCTGGTCGACGTGGTACCTTCTAAAACTCATGGCAGACCTTGCACTTACGTACGTACTCTGCGCAATCCCTGATGATCGTAGGCCAGAAACACCCCTGCAAAGTTATCTTTCTGGACATCGTGAAGGCTCCTTGGTGAACTGAGCATATCCCTTCATGGATTTCCTCCATCAGCTTCTGCGCTTCGTCCATCCTTAAGCACCTCAACAATGTACCATTGTACGATCGCTTGTACAACCGACCGCACTCCAACGTGTCGCTAGGTGCACGTCGTTTGACTACTTTAGCAGCAACCGGGTCGGTAGGTAGCGACCCATCAAGGATGTACATGGTTATCTCGTCGATCTAGTCTGGCTCTTTGAATGTAACGACCAGAACCTGTCCGGGACTGATACTTGGCTCGAGCAATTCTTCTTCCTGGGTTATCGCTCTGATATGATCTGGGGAGTCCGGACCAAGTTTCGACAGGATGTCCTCCTCGGCATTTTCTTCTCGAGGGACCTGCTCTATCCAGTATGCCCCGAACGCCTTAAGTAATTCCAGAGCAGTATCTCTGTACCTCTTCATTCGCTCATCCTTGGCCTCAAACTCTCCCATGACATGGCCTACTATTAGCTTGGAATCGCACTGGACCTGGATCCGTTCAGCCTTTAACGACGCTGCCAGCCTCAAACCGCAGAGCAGTGCCTCATATTCAGCCTCGTTGTTTGAGACCTTGAACGGGAACCTTACAGAGTAGTATGCCTTGAATCCTTCCGGTGATATTGCCACGTTGCCTCCCCCCAAAGCATCATTCAAGGACGATCCATCGGTGTAAATAATCCACTAATTTCCTTTGGGTTCTTCTCTGTTGGATTCCACTTCCCTCGTAGTGCATTCTTCCACAAAATCCTCCAAGGTCTGCCCCTTGATCGCTGTTCGTGGCTTGAATTCTATCTGGAAAGATCCCAGGAACACTCCCCACTTACTAACTCGTGACGGAGCATTTAGACTTCGGAGGAGGGTTCCGATTGGAATCTAGGATAGCACGTGGACCGGGTGGGCCTGAAAGTAAGGGGTGAGTTTCTTCATCGTACAGACCACTGCAAAGATTGTCTTTTCCATGTTCGTATATCTAAGCTCTGCCCCCCTCAACACCCGAGCCACATAATACACCGGACGCTGCGTACCTTCCTCTTCTCTCACGAGTACTGAGCTCACTGCCCGAGGAGAAATTCCTAAGTATAGGAACAGGATTTCTCCAGGCTCTGGCTTCGAAAGCACCAGTGGAGAGAGGAGGTACGCCTTCAACCCTTCAAAGGACCGTTGACATTCTTCAGTCCAAACAAAACCTTTGCTTTTCTTAATGGTCTGGAAGAAGGGTGCTGCTCGATCAGCTATCTTTGACAAGAAGCGACTAAGAGCAGCGATCCTCCCTGTGAGCTGTTGGACCTCCTTCACGTTCCGCGGAGGCTCCATCTCTAAGATTGCCTTCACCTTTTCTGGATTGGGCTCGATCCCCCTTCGACTGACCATGTGCCCAAGAAACTTTCCCCCCTGAACCCCAAACGTGCACTTTTTGGGGTTGAGGCGAAGCTGGAACTTCTTCATGATTTTGAAAACTTTCTCCAGGTCCCGGGCATGGGATTCCATCTGTTTTGATTTAACAATCATGTCGTCCACATATGCTTCCATGCATCCCCCTAGCACTGGTGCGAACAGCTTGTTGACCATTCGCGCGTAGGTCGCCCTAGCATTCTTCAAACCAAAGGGCATCACCTTGTAGCAGTATACCCCATTGGGGGTTATGAAAGCGGTCTTCTCTTCATCTGCTACATCCATCTTGATCTGATGGTATCCACTGAATGCATCCATAAAGCTCATCAATTCACACCTTGCCGTATCATCCACCAACTGATCAATGTTGGGGAGAGGGAAAGGATCCACCGGGCAAGCTTTGTTTAGGTCGGTGTAATTGACGCACATCCGCCAGGTGTTCCCTTTGGGTGCGAGGACTACATTTGCCAACCATTCCGGGTAACAGACCTCCCGGATGTGCCCAATGGACTGCAAGGTCGTCACTTGCTTAGTGACAAATTCTCTCCTTTCTGAGGAAAGGAAACGTTTCTTCTGCTTGACTGGCTTATGTGTCGGATCCACTGCCAACCTATGGCAGATGATTTTCGGATCGACCCCAGGCATGTCCTCTGGGCCCAAGCAAATAGTACCTTGAATGCTCGTAGGACCTGCAATAGCTGCTCCTTTGACCTATGTGGTAAGGTTTTACCTATCTTCACCTTCTACTCTGGCTTGGCTGGGTCCAAGGTGACTTCTTCAACCTCTTCCGCTGGTTCAGCTCGAGGTCGCCCCTCTTCCTTCTGGATTGCAGCATAGATCGTGCTTACGTTCTCATCGACCCGTGCTTGGCTCTTGGTCGCCCTGACATAGCACGATCAAGACAAACTCTGATTCCCCTTGGCCACCCCTACTCGGGTAGGGGTGTTGAACTTCATGCACAGGTGGACGGGGGAGATTACGCATTCCAAGTCCTCTAGACCTGGTCGCCCTAGGATCAAATGGTGTGCACAATCAAGCTGCACTACCATAAATTCCATGTCGAGCTAGAGTCGGTGGGTTCCATCTCCTACCCTAGCCCTTACCGTGATGGTTCCTTCTGCTTCAATGGTATCCCCCGTAAATCCCGACAGCGGGGTACTGATCGGCTTCAAGTCATTCCGGGATAACCCTAGCTCCTTAAAGGTATTGTTATACATGATATTGACCGAGCTGCCTGTATCGACCAATGTGCGGTGGACTACCACATTATTGATTTCTAACTTTACCACTAGCGCGTCCCTATGGGGGCTAAGAACCGGTGGATAGTCTTCATATGTGAAGACCAATGGCTCCTTCTTCTTCCGCTTGGGTAGCGGTGGTCTTTGCACCTCGGCCAGATGCACCATATTCTTCCATTTCCTTCGGGAGGATGCCGAGTCCCCCCGGTATTGCCGCCCATAATGAACCGACACCCCAGGTGTCAGCGGTCCTGCCTTTCTTCCTCATCTAGGTCATGGCAATCTCTCCCCAGATGCCGCCGTCCGTCCTCCTGCCTATCCCCTGCTGTGATCGCTGCGGTAGGTGCCGCCGGTCTCCTCCAAGTCCGGTTACCTAATGATGGTCGCTCCGGTCGGGGAGGCGGCCCTCTGGCGATCAGCTGGTCCATCTCCTTCTTTAACGTAACGCACTCCGACGTGTTGTGGGTGCTGTTACGGTGGTACTCGCAGTATTTGGGTGCGTCTTGAACGCCATAGGTTTCCTGATATCCGGGACGGGATGTCTATTCACGTGATATCCGGTAGGGTTCGGCCCCCTACCGTAGTATTTCCTCTTCTTTCCTTCTGCCACCGGTGGTCCACTTTTCTTTTCCTTCCGGACGGGTGGCTTGTCATCTTCCTCTTCCAACGCCAGGTACTTCGCTCTAGCCAGCATCTCCTGATAGGTCGAGAGCGGGTTTCGTCGCAGCTCCTTGCACACATCCCCTTGGGGGAGTTCCACTTGGAGCATAGCGATCAGGGCCTGGTCGTCCGCCCCTTGGACGTCCCTAGCCTCTTTCTCCCGCCTATTGATGAATTCCTAGAGTTGCTCCCCCTTCCAGATTTTCACATTAAGCAGATGCGAGAAGGGGAGCTTTTGCCTCCGGCTGGATGCGAAGTGCTTTAAGAATATGTGGGCCAGGTCGCTCCACCTGTCTATTGATCCCTTGGGCAACTAATGGAACCACTCACAAGCTTGCCCTTCCAGTGTCGCCAGGAAGCATCGGCACTTAATCTCTTCAGGGTACGCATACATGACTGCGTTCGCCCCGAAGTGAGCAAGGTGATCCTGGGGATCGGTCGTCCCGTTGTATGATTTGACCTGTGGGGTCTTAAAGTTGTCCGGGAGAGGACAGGACATTATTCTCCTGGGAAGGGAGTTACCTCGTTAAAGACCGCCTGGCGATAGGGGTTCTGGGCGTCCAGCCGCCTCTCCAATCGCTCATACATCCTCCACAACTCAGCTGCTTCCTTGTCCTCGACCGCCTTTCGTCGTTCCTCTGAGCCGATCGTGGAGGTCGCAGTGGATTCTCCTCTCCTTTCCTTGAGCATCTCACTCAGGTCGCCTTTGCGGGCCGACCGCGTGTCTTGCAGCCGATCGAACGCGGAGGTTCGGGGCTTCTTTGCCTTGGGGTCTCCCAAGCGATCAAAGGCTGACGCCCGCTCAAAAGAGGACGACTCGTCTTCCTCGTCCAATCTGGACAGCGCATCTTCAATCCTGGCTTTCTCATTAGGCTTGGTCGCCTTCTTCTTTTGGGATCGCCTCACCTTTTTCTTCTTTCCCTGTGAGCCCGCAGGTCCAGCCTTCTCGCCTATGGGTACCCCGGTCGCGTCTTCCACCACAATCTCGCGATTGGGCGTCAGTACCGCCAGCACCTCCTTGAACTGCTCAACCGTGATCCCAACCCTCTGAATGAGGGCCTCCGCCTCTGTCGTATTGATAGGAGGGTGCCGGCCTCCGGTAGCGCTCTTTTCGCCCTGGTGGGGGGCTCCGGTTCCAGCATTTGCATTGCTGCGTGTCTGCACCATCATCTTCTTGGAAGGTTTTCTATGAGTATGATTCTCGAACTCTCAACAAGAGCACCAATTTGATGGACAATAAATCCACCGAATGATCTGATTTAGAAAAACGGATCGTAAAGAGAGAATTAAGAAAAAGAACTCGAGAATTAGGAGTGTATTATTAGCTTTATTTAGCCCTCTCCCTTTTTCCCTTCCAGGTCTCTTCTATTTATACATAGGTTCTAGACAATTAAGGTAATACATAATCAACGGGTGCCCGTTCCGTCATTGGCGCGATCCACTTTTTCCAGCTCCGTCTTCGCCATCCAGCTCCGTCTTCTCCTCTAGCCCGGCTCTGCCAGCCTGTCTCTGTTTATGTAGACTGGGCTCCGTGTCGTGGGCCGGCCCATGCTCCAGCATCTCTCGTGCGCACCTGACCCGGAATTTGTTAACCAGTTCCTTTGGGCCGCCCACTGGATGTCGGCCCATCAATGGCAAAAACATAAATTTTTAATAAGGTAAATAAGGCATAAAATAGAAAACACATAATTGTTTTATTAAAATTATAAAAAGAGTAATTATTTAATAAACATGTAATAACAAAAACTAATTATCAGCACATACTCTAAAAATGACATGACATGTTGACGTGTCAAAAAATGGCCACGTGTGTTGTCCACTTGTTGAACTCTCATGAAGCGAGTGCCAAATATTATACGGAGTAATAAAGTATTAAACCGAGAACGATAAGGAGAGAATGCTATGTTAAAAATTGAAACACTGAGAAATGATTTAACATTGGTAACATATAACAACAGGGCAGCTTAATTAGAACAACATATTGAAAAAAGTTGAAAAGGACATGAACGAAGAAATAAACTAAAGCACAGAAAAAAACATAAAAAAAGAAAGCACGCGAATAAAATGAGAATTTGTAAGGGACGATCCATGCCATGTCACAATTAGTTTGCCTGATCAAGTTTAATCTTCATCCATATAGTCCGGCATTGACTGATCCGAATTGTTACCATGGTCAGAGCGGTCGTCCTCATCATCGTCATCGTCTTCGTCTGAATCGTCTTCGTCTGAGTCGGAGTCTGAACATTTTCGGTTTAAGTAAGGCTTATTTTCTTCATCATAATCTCCAGCTCCAGACCCAAACTGGATGGTGTTAACAACCACCATTTTTGTTAGTGCTAGTAAGTTAATTAAGTTTCGGTAGAGGGAGAAATGAGTAATAATATAATAAAAAAAATACTCTCCTATCCTCTATATATACACGGAGCAATTAGGAGCGTGAAATTTGCACTAAATAGGACTAAAACATAATGACTTTCCTAATGTAAGACTTTAACTTTTTTATTCCCTAAATAAGACTTAATAATGACCTAGTGGGAGGAATAATGCTCAGTAATAATGGACATTTAGTTGAATAATGACTACTTGATAATGACCAAAGGTCCTACATTGGGAAATAAAAACATATGGTCCTATATTTGAAAAGTCATTATGTTTTAGTCCTATTTTGATAAATTTCTCAATTTACAGCTTTATTTGCGCGTCGTCGTTTTACCTGAAATTACGGCAAAGGGAAATGCTTGGTTCACAAACTCAAGCTTCACAAACTTCACAAACTTACCATTTGTGAACTTCAATAAAGAAAATTAAATAGTCTAAAATAATTTTAAAATGAGAATTTAAACCATAAATAGTAAGTTTGTGAAGTTTGTGATCCTTCTGTTTGTGAACGTAGCATTGCCCTTACGGCAAATATGGGTTAGATTCATATTCCCTTTTTCCCATTATACATTCTTTTTCCTTCTTTTTTTTTACTTTTTTGTTTCTCGATCTTTTTTCTTAACTGTCTTTTTTTTTTTTTTTTTACTTTTTTTCATATTTTCTCCCTCCATCCTAAAATAAATTACTCCTTTCAACCAACGTGCAAAAGCCTGTAATTTTTAAAATAATTTTATTTACACATTCGTATTGAAAATAATAATAATAATTATATATTTAAAAACTACATCAAAATTTCTAATTCCTTCGTCTAATAAATTTTTTTTAAAGACAGAAAAATGCCCTTTAAAAGTGTTTAATTTTGATATTATTTTCTAAATTGTGACCCTACTTTATAATAAGGTAGACTATAATGTGTAATGCCATTTTTACTATTCTTTTTTTTTCGTTTTTGAAAAGTCGTTTGAGACGGAGGAAGTACAAAACAAGAGATGACAATAATATTTCATTTTATCAATTGATCAATTAAAACATGCAAAAAAAATATTAAGAGACCGTAATAGTAAAGGTAAATTGTTTTGGAAAAGAAGAAGTATTATTTATATTATGTTTTAAAAATTCAAAATGGTAGATACTTGAAATTGAAAAAGAAATATTTATGAAATTGCTTACGAATCGGCGATGGGGTTTGATTTCCTGGCATCCAAATTATGCAATTGCTTACATCTCAAAAAAGCATTAACATTTTCGGCATCTTTATGGCGACTCAAAAATCTAAAATATTTCTATATTGTACGTTTGTACTCCTCCTTAAGTACTCCTGCATCTTTGTGGCTCGGTAATTTTAATGTGGTACTGTATATAGACATTTTACAATACTTTTTGTTATTATTGATTGACATTCTATATATATTTTAATTTCTATTTTGGGAATAAAAACATAAAACTCATATTTTAGTACATTTTCAATTCCATAATTTATTACTATCTTTTTCGTTTAAATGTGAAACTTTTTTCATCAAACAGTAATCCCTCCATCTCAAAAAAGGTTTTCAGTTTGACTTGACACAAAGTTTAGGGAGAATTTTAGTGCTACGGTAATTCCTTATCCATTTATATATAGTAGTGATGACCCATTTACATATCATGGCCTTGTTTGGAACATGGCAGTTGGCAGTTAGCTCTTGGTTGTGTATGTTAGCTGGTTTGAATGACTGATTGAGTTAACTGTTTTGACCGGCTGTTTCTGTTAGCTGTTAAAAATTAGATGTTTGGCAACTTTAGCTGTTTATAGTTAGCTATTTGTGAGTAAAACTACATATAAGGACATCCCTCCATTTATGTTAGATTGTGTATGATTTTGATTTTTTTAATTTGATAAAATACACACATTATACAAGAAAATGCTTTACATCTATATTTTTTTGGACAAAAAAGGCTACTTCATTTTTTTTAATTTAAGAAATGAGAATTTACATTTATATTTTATAAGTAGATATTTTTTGTATTTTTCTCATTTATCATTCTACAAATAACAATCATGCATGATATATTTTATTTTATACTCCCTCCGTTCCACAAAACCCTTCCGGTTTTGACTTTGGGGAAAAATAAGGAAAGTGTAATTTTGGTTGACTTTCCAATTTTGCCCCTGATGTGATTGGAAAAAGTAAGATGAGATGAGATAGTTTGGTTATTAATGAAAAAGTTTGATGTGATAGGGAGGGTATGAAAAAATAAGGGTAAAAGTGATTTTTTAATAGAAAGTTGAAGTGTTTTGTGGAAAGAAAAAAAACGAAAGAGGAAGGATTTTGTGGAACGGAGGGAGTAATTTTTTAAATATGATATCATAAATATATAAAAATACTCTATAGAAATCATCCTAAATAGGACTAAAACATAGAGAAAAGTACCAAAATAGGACTTTCATGTTTTTTTTCCCGGAATAGGACTTTGCACTGTGGTAATGTGGCTTTGCATTGTGGTAATGTGGCAGTGTACATGTGCAAATTACTATACTTTTTTGGTAATGTATATGACCATGTTTGGTAATGTAAGTCCTATTTCGGGAATAAAAACATTGAAGTCCTATATTGATATATTTTCAATGTTTTAGTCCTACTTTGGTCTTTCTCCTTATACTCTACACCAATTTTAAATTAAAAAAATTAAATAAATTACTTGAGACGACATGAGCATTAGAAGTGACAAAAAATCAGACAAGCTCTCGACTAGTCAGGAAATTGCAAGGAGAAAGTGAGGAAAACTTCCGGTGCCGTGAGGATCGCAGAGAGACGCAGCACCAAAAAAGGGTAAGAAACGGAAAATGGGGTGAGCTGCTAAATGGAATGTTGCTAGGGTTGGCATTTCAATTTTTGGCTGTTCGGTTCGAAATGCCAATTCCAAAAGCCATTATCCAAACAATTAATTTGGCGGTTTGACTAGTCCAATCCGTCGTTTATGGTCAAAGATGCCAAATGCTGGGTGAACCGTCATTTACCAAACATGGCCCATGTTTATTTTTGGATGAGTCTGATGTAATCCTCTTCACGTTTGAATGTAAATAGGACATCATTCTGTTAAATCCTCTTTAGCTTGAACCATGAGAAACAATCCTTTTGCATAAATTGTTTAATTTGAGGATTAACACTATGTCTGGTTCAAAGCTTTTGAAAGGGAAAAACGAAAAGAAAATGAGATGTAAAACAATTTTTTTTGTTTGGATAGAGAGGAAAAGAAAATAAAAATTGAAGAAAAAGAAAATGAGAAGACAAAATGTATTAAGAGGAGGAAAACAGAATTCCTCCCATTTTGGTTACAATTCATCCTAATACAACTCCAAGAGACCCAAGACTCTTAACATCCAGTCCGCTACTAGCGTAGCCACACCTCCCCTCTCTTTGCATCTGTTGTGCACTGGATCTAAACAAGAAAGATTAGGAGCTAGGGTTTCGAACCCTAGCCCCGACGATTGTCATGGCGCTGTTGATGGCAAGGGATTAGGAGCGTATTGGCACTAGCATCTATGGATTCTTAACGTAACTCCATTGACGGTTCACAAATCAAACTTTTCAAGTATTAATTTTCATTTTAGAATGATCTTTTAGGGTTGTAAAACATATTTTTGGCATTGATTTTGTGTATGTTGACATTACTGGCATTATAGTTATTGACATTGCGAAAGAGAGTTTAGTATTACGTGTTGACACCAATTTAATGCCAAAAAATACTGTAAAAATCTCTTCTACCTACCATTCAACTTATGACATTACACAATGTCAATGTTTATATTTGGAGAAATTCGATAGGGAAAATGCACCACAGCCCCCTATGGTTTCAAAAAGGAGCTCCAACACCCCTCGTGGTTTTAAAAGTAACTTATAATATACCTCTGGTTTGTAAAGGGTGCACATGCACCCCATTTTGATATTCACGCGCTAGCATGCAAATGGTGCTCTTTTTTTAAAAATATTTTATGTAATACTCCCTCCATCCGGGAATAAACTTCATACTTTGACTTTTCCTCATTTTTAGTGGATGCTTGAATAAGGAATTAAAAGCCTAAATTACCCTTAATGAAGGAAAAAAAGAAAGAATAGAAAGAAGGGGGCCAAACACATAGCAAGCAATCAAAGTACACCAACTACACTATTTCAATCATTATCATATGTCAAATCCATGATTACATAACAAAATTTAGGCATTCCCTCCAATTTGTTTTTTGGAATGCCGCCCAATACTTTGACAATTCATTTAAATAAGCAGTTTTGAATACATTTACAGGCTATTTAACCCCCCCCCCCCCAAGGTTATTAACCCCAACACTAGTGCCCTTTCTTCTCCATCTTTTTCTTCCTAATCTTTTCAACAATCATTTCACATTCAGCTTTATTCATCTTCCTTTTTTCATCTCTATGTCCAGGGGCCTGCATATACACATGATTAACCTTCAAATTAACACCAAAAAACTAGACAATGCAACAAGGCAGGTTATAAGCGAGTCATTACTGTCAAAGGAAAACCCCGATGGTTCTTACTCTGCTCAGTATGGACAGATCAAGAACCTTGCAGCACAATTTAAAGTGTCTACAAGAACAGTCAGTAGCATATGGGCCATTGCAAAGAAACAATTAGAGCTGGGCATTGCCATTGATGTCAAAAAGAGAATGGCAGGAAAAAGTGGCAGAAAAAGGGATGTGATGGATGTAAAGGCTATAACAGACACTCCCCTGAGGAAGAGGACTACTGTAAGATCACACTTGCAGCTGTCATCCATAAGCCTAAGTCCACTGTGCATGAGTGGATTAAAAAAGGTATGCTTAGGAGCCATTCTAATGCTATTAAACCTTACCTATCACATGCTAATTAAACCTTACCTATCAGAGCCATTCTTCATACATGAACTGAACACACACTTCAAAGGAATGTTTTTTTGGATTGTGGTTACCACACTGGGTTTTTGTAACTGCTTACCATGTTTTGGTTTTCATTTAGGGAAAAACACCAAACTATGACCAACATTAAAAATATACCAAAATAGGACTTCCATGTTTTTATTCCCGAAATAGGACTTACATTACCAAAATGGTCATATACATTACCAAAAAAGTATAGTAATTTGCACATGTACACTGCCACATTATCACAATGCAAAGTCACATTACCACAGGGCAAAGTCTTATTCTGGGAAAAAAACATGAAAGTCCTATTTTGGTACTTTTTTCTATGTTTTAGTCCTATTTAGAATGATTTCTATTTCATTTACGTAAATGGTAGGCATAGGGGGCTTTTTTGGGTTTTGCTTTTTGTAAATGGTAGCCACATTTATTTTTTGGGTTTTGGCTGTTGAGTTATGGGAGTTGTGTACTGACATCAAGGCAACAACACCCTAAAAGCTCTATATGTAACTATGTAAAATGACAAACAACATATGACATTCCAAATTGTATTCCCATATCATCATTGCTGAGTTTTTAAATAGTAGGACTATCTGGCCACACCCTTCACTACTCAGAGACAGTTTAAGTATAAACATGCTTATCATGGTAGGACTATAAATTCTCAACCAAGCATCACAGAAAATGGCCTCACATTTCTCACACCCAACACTGTATAAGAAGCACACCCAACACATAAATATGGTGAACCCAATAGGACTATATATTCTCATATTATCATCACATAAACAGGATACATAATTCTTATAAGCCTGATTCAAGCACCCACTAAAAATGAGGAAAAGTCAAAGTGTATAGTTTATTCCCGGACAGAGGAACATTCCCAATTGTATTAAGCCCACAAAGGTATGAAGCACATACGAAGATAAGACAGTAATTTTGAATAATTGCAAGGAAAATTTAAAAATTTAAGGAGGGGAAAGGAACTTCCCCACTTGTACTTTGAAGCCCAAAACTGTGGATCAGGACTTGGAAGCAAGATATTCAGCATATCGATGTGGAGGTGCATGCGTGAGTTGATTGCATGAGTAGGCTCAATCTCACTTTTTTCACACCAATCAGCATCATCAATATCACCGTATAGAACAACGAAGTTAGGCTCCTCCCTCCCAAGGAGAAAAACAGCGTCTTTCTGAGATTCAAGAAGGATAACGTCCTTCCTCTCTCTAACCGGGGCAACATCGGCCATATCGTCGTCGCTGTCGATGACGATGACCTCGTCCTCCTCCTTGTCAGAGATGAAATCCCCATCATCAACTCCAATATCTTCAAATTGTGTCTCCAGAATAATGGATTCGAAGCGCAAATCGTACGAATCCATTGCAGATCTAGGAGACGAAGTAGTTGAGTTTGGAGATAGAGTAAATGAAGAGTTGAGATCGGAAGATCTGAAGGGTTTGGGGAGGATCTGAAGACTTGAGATCAGATAAGATAGGGAGAGGAGAGGAGTGAATGAGGACAGTTGAGTTTGGCGATAGAGTAAATGAGGGGGAGAGGGTGTAGTTAGGAATAATGGGTGAGATTTAATGAGAGGGGTATTTTTGGAAGAGAGGGTATGAGAAAGTAAAATAGGAAGATTTTTTTCGGACGGGAAAAAAGGTAGAGTAGGAAGATTATTGTTGGACGGAGGGAGTATATGGGAAAAATATTTATCTTGACCCATCTCCATGAGAACACTCATGGCAGAAGCAACCCATTATGCAAGATGAAATCATTTGGGAAAAAAATCAAAGCAAAAATAAATAAGAAAATCATGGTAAAAATATTATTCACTCAACATCTATGCCAATATACATCCATTTTATAAAACATTTCATAGAACATTATTCACTCAACATCAAGTGCCAATATACATCAGATCAATTCAAAAAAATCACAACAGAAGAATTATGCACCAAAACAATTTCATTTCATAGAGCATGATAATTCAAAAAGTACTTTCACAATGTGAACATCAACACCAAATTTTAAAAGGTAAAAAATAGATGTTCTTCAAAAGACATCATAAAATACATAATACAATCCAGTAATCAACCAAGATCCAATAATGCCATCATGTTTGCCCATGGTTTGGAGATAAGTTCATCTCCAGTGGTAGACCTCTTGTAGTTTGCTGTAATTTCATATATAATAAATATAATTAACCCGATTTCAAAAATTCAGTAAAGACTTCATCAAAATATAAAAATCAGTAAAGACATTATCAATGAATGGAATTTTTTTACCTGTGAAGGCATGGTGCCATTAGTGATGATGTTCTCACATGTAATTCTTTGGCCGTGTGCTTCAGTTTCTTTATTATTTTTACTTGGTCTGCCCCTTTTTCTTGGCTTAATAGAATGTTGTGTGTTTGGTTCCTTCTTACAAGACCTCTTGTTATGACCTTGTTTACCACAATTTGCACATGTAACAGTCAATCCTTTCCTTGTTGACCTTTTCACATCCTCCTCTTCCTGTGCAGATTTTCTTCTGTTTTTCTTGGGTCTTCCAATCTTTCTTTTAACAACACAAGGTAGCAACGGTGTATACAACGTGTTGACATAGTTATGTGAACCTGGTACAGGTTGAATAACATTCCCATATGCCTTTTTATATGTGGCAACGTAGAAGTATTTGTCCACGTAGAGATCTTCATTATATCTGAACCTGTGACACACGGCTAATGCATGCAAACATGGGACACCAGTGAGTTGATACTTCCTGCAAGTGCACTCCTTTGTACTGAACTTAACCACATGAGTGACATCGTCTTTCATCACCTGGAACTCTTCCAAACTAGCAGGCATTACACTCCAATTTACTGCATTGTCCATCATCTTCCTCATTTTCTCTTAATGTTAGGGCAAATCATACTTCTATTATATGCCTCAATTCATATTTTCTTTACATTGATCCTACACATCAATTTGCTCCTAATATTCTCACACATGCTAATGATTGGAAGTCCTCTTGCTTCTAACAGATAACTATTACAAGATTCGGCTATATTATTTGTGACTGCATCACACTTAACATGAGTTAGTTGGAAACATACATCTTGACCAATGCACAGCTGAACTCCAGACAACTACTCAAATGCAGTTTGTTGTTCACTAATCTTTGGGTCAATCTCTTTAATCTCATTCATAACTCTATTAAAACCCTCCTCGGTCGTGGAAGAAGCTGCTCTCCAGAATAGTTCTTTTAGCTCTAGAATTGACCATTTCTTTCTGAAATTTTCATACATATGCCTTAGACAGAATCTGTGATGCACCTTTGGATACTCCTTCTCGAATACCTCTAACAAACCTTTTTCTCTATCACTAATGTAGCATATTCCCTTCTCCACGGATCACCAATTACTATATGCAAGTGATGTAAAAACCAACTCCAGTTTAAATTGTTCTCCACGGGCACTATTGCAAAAGCAATTGGAAACATGTTGTCGTTTCCATCCCTTGCCACTGCACACAACAACTGCCCTCCAAAGGGTGTCTTTATAAAGCATCCATCAATTGCAATGATAGGCCTACAACCAACTAAGAACCCAGATATGAAAGCATCATATGTGAAAAACATCTTCTCAAACACAAGGACATTATCCTTGTTCAGATTACATCCAACCTTGATGTATGCTCCTGGATTGTGCTTCATCACAGTGGCACAATAATCCCAGATCTTAGTGTATTGCACCCCAGCATCTCCATGGATTAGTTTAAATGCTTCTCTCCTAGCCCTTTTGTTTGTAGGGGCTCCACGGGTACATCCTTGACATGTTGTTTGATCATGTGCCCTAAATACTTGTAGGTAGCAGCTGTGTTATCAAACCTCCATGCACAATGTGTCTCCGGACAATTCATTGTTTTGATCTGAAATGTAGGACCACCTTGGACCCATGATGCTCTTACTCTCCAATTGTCGCATGTGTGACACTTGACTAAAACTCTATTATGCTCATTCTTCATAAGCTCAAGCTGAATGCCATGCCTCACTGAATAATCTCTGATGACCATCCTGTACTCATTGCCATTCTTGAACTTTAGCATAGGCTCTAATACAAATTTCTCCATCTCAGAATCAGACTTAAACTCTGGACATTTATTATCATATAGACAACTCATTTCTTCATCCTCCACATCACTAAATGCAACTTCAGTATCACCATTGCCTCTTTCAGTATCAACACCATTTTTCTTCTTCTTGTCCTTTTTATCTCTCAGCTCCATCTCTTTTTTCTTTAGCAATGTCAACTTCACCTTATTACACCTTCGATCATCAGTTTCATCAAATAAACCTTCCTCATCAGATAATTCTAGGTCCTCAAAAAGAAAATCAGCAGTTCCCTTCTCTGCCTCAACAGGTTGATCACTATTCTCCTTCCCTACTTTACCATTTTTATCAACTTCCTGAACATCATCTAACCTCTCTTCGGACTCATCATTACCAACCCCGTCTCAATTATCATTTTGACATTGGTTGTACAAATTAAAACTAAGTAACTCCATGAAGGAACATTGTGTAAACTCATGAGGAACCTCAAACCCAGCATCTATATTTGCAACCTCTAAGTCATTAATTCCACAACATCCATTTTGTATCCTTAATTCGTCCATCTCATACATCTAAATTTTAAAAAAACAAAAATAAATTATTTAGATAGTATATTAGAAAAAAACTGTCCATCTCAAGCCTAATAGTTTCTAAGACTAAACGTGTAACCTTCAAAATATGGCTCAATTCACAAATACCACATTGGATGATGACAAACCACAATTCAAGATTAGAGTTTAAACATAAACAAACACATTACGAATAAATAAATTTTCAGTTTTTTTGATCTTTTTAATTCTTTATGATGACACACCATAATTCAAGATCAGAGTTTAAACACAAATAAACACATCACAAATAAATAAATTTTTAATTTGTTTGATCTTTTTAATTCTTTATGAAAGTTTATAAAGAATGCCACTTTCCAGTGGATTTGGCCTTGATACTTGCAATCCCACACCCCATAAAAACATAAAACCCCATCTCAAAACAAGCACCATAGATGTACAGGTTGTAAACTAACAATACTAGTGACAAGGTAAGTATGCAATTAAAATAAAAATAAAATATCCCAAATTGATCAGAAAAAACCCTAACTGTAAAAATCATAAATTTGGAATGGAATTCATAAATGATTCGGTAATACCTTCAGTATGTTGCTGGAAACACGTGGGAAGAACCAAATAGCAGAGAAAAAAATTGGAAGAATGATTGGAGATGAAGAAAATAGCAGCGATGGAGCCTGGAGGTAGTGAGAATTTGGGAAAGTTGGGTGACGTGTATAAGTGTATTGTTGATAAAAAAAAGTTCCATGTGAATTATTAAAAAAATAAATTAGGGGTGCGTGTGCACCCTTTGCAAACCAAAGGTGTATTACAAGTTATTCCGTATTTTTGAAATGAGAGGGGGTGTAGGAGCTTTTTTTTGAAAGGATAGGGGGGCTATGATGCATTATTCCCATATTCGATATTTTAATTCTATATAAATAAGTATTCTACAGTAATAAAAAAAATAGGGAATACTCCGTACTTTTCGTAGATAATAAGGATAAAAACTCATACGAGTAAGGGTCCGTTCCGTAGGACTTATTTTTTATACTTATTACTTATTCTTATTAAAATCAGATCAGATCAGACTCAATCAGATCAGATCAGATTAGATCAGACCAGATCAAATCCAATAATATCAGATCAAGAAAAAATATAAAAGATCATATTTATTTTTTTCAAGGATTAAATAATAATTACTATTATTTGATTAAATCACATTACTTTATTTAAAACTACACACACCTAAATCTTAATTAATGTTGTAATTTTAAATATTATTGTTTTTATATTATTATTATTATTATTATTATTNGCTAAAAGTTTTATTTTTCAAACTTTAAAAAGATTTATTTTAAAATACTTGTTTATAAAATAATTATACAAAACTTTGTTTTCAAAACTATAAATATTTTATACTTAAAAAGATTTACTTTTAAACTTTAAGATGGTATAATATACACAAGGGTGAATTTAGGACAAAATTGATAGAGGTGAAAGCGATATTAGTGTTTAAAATTTTATATGATCTTTAATTTGTAACATGAAATATATTATTATGTAATATGTATATACAATGTGATATTTTTGTAGAATAGCATCAATATTTTCTAATATTTGTTTATTTTAATACCGATTATTTAGTTTTCAAAAAAATTAAAAAAGTTGTGATATTGAAAAGATGTTTAATATTTATAAAAAAAATTTAAACATATTAATGATTAGCTGATTTTTTTATTTTACTTGTTTTATGTATATATGAATTGTAATACTTTAAAACTATTAAATTTTGTAATAATTTTAAGTTTAATTTAAATGAAATTTAATTTCATTTAAACCAGATCTAATCAGATCAGATCCAATCAGATCAGATCCAATCATATCAGATCAGATCAGACCCAATCAGATCAGATTCAATCAGATCAGATCAGATTTAATCAGATCAGATCTAATCAAATCAGATTAGACCCAATCAGATTAGATCAGACTCAATCAGATCAGATCAAGACTTCAAAAATTCAGATCAGATTCAATTACATCAGGCGTACGGAACATAGCCTAAGAAGATGCCCTTAATCACCATCCAATGCACAGAAGATGCCAATCCCACTTGGAAAGAAAGACATAATGGCAAATTGGGAAGAGAGGAACAACTCGCGCCCAAACGTGGCCGAATCTCTTCAGCGGTTCTCCATTTCTAACGGACCTTTACCCGCTTCGCATTTCGTCTCCGTGCACGCAACCATAGATAGAAACAGAGGGGAAAAGATAGAGAGAGAAAGCGGAAAAAAGCAGACTGGGGACGAGAGAGAAAAGGAGATAGCCCATTATTAACACCGGAAATTAGGAAGTGCGTGGCCGTTTTACCGGCCACCGCCGCCTCCGCCTCCGCCTCCAATTGAAATTTCAATTTCCGTAGCTGAAGTTTTTTTTTTTTAATTTTTTTTTATTTAAATTATTGGAGAAGAAGAGGAGAAGAAAAGGAACAAACGCATCCTAGCGCTCTGTTTGTTTCTTCATCATTTCGTCATCTTCTCCATGGTTCCGGGTAAGATTCATCATTTTGTTTTTTCTCTGATGGGGGTTTTCTTACTTTCTAGCTGATTTCAAATTTTCTTGATTTTTTTTTTGGGATGTAAGGATAAGAGAAGATGCAGCACAATTTATTTACCTCGATGCGTAGTTTGAAGATGATGGACGGGTGCAAGGGCTTGCAGGTTTGTGCCCTGAATCCGGGGACCACCGCTGGGGGCGGCGTTAGCGGTGTTTTCCAGCACTTACACGACCATTTGAAGGGCAACCCTATTAGGTCAAGATCCACTCGGAATTTCCAGAGCATCCAGGACTCGAGCAATAATGTGGATCCAGCCGCCTTAGCCGAAGCCCTAACAGCTTACGGCCTCCCCCAGGCTGACCTCATGGAGCCCCAGATCGACCCGTGCCTCAAACCCTTAGATTTCATTCAGACCTTATCCGAACTCTATCTTAAGATTGAGGGTTGTCCCCAATTTGAGAAGTCTAGGGTGTTTCTAGAGCAATGCGCTGTATTCAAGGGGTTGGCGGACCCTAAGATGTTCAGGGCGAGCCTAGTTTCTGCCAGGAAACATGCTGTTGATGTTCATTCTAAGGTTGTTCTTTCGGCGTGGTTGAGGTATGAGAGGAGAGAGAATGAGCTTATTGGGGTATCGGCTATGGACTGTTGTACACGTAGTATGGAATGCCCGAGATGCTCTCTGGTGCCAGGATATAATCCCGAATCAGCTAACGACCGTTGTGCATGTCTTAGAACAGCATGTGTAAACAAGGAGGGTGACAAATATTCTATAGAAGAAGATGAGGAAATCTCCCCCTCACCGAAGCATTCTCGAGAAGAAGAAGAAGATGATGATGATTATTATGATGTGTCATTTTGCATTGGGGATGATGAGATTAGGTGTAGTAGGTTCAAGATTGCCTCACTTTCAACACCATTCAAAACCATGCTGTATGGTGGCTTTATGGAGACGAAGAGGGAAAAGATATACTTCTCCCAAAACGGGTTCTCCCCAAAGGCAATGAAAGCTGCTGAGGTCTTCAGCCGGACAAAGACCGTTGATTCTTTTGAACCGGAAGTCGTCTTAGAGCTCTTATCATTGGCCAACAGGTTCTGCTGTGAGGAAATGAAATCTGCTTGCGATGAATATTTGGCCTCTTCTGTTTTTGACATAGAAGATGCTGCATTGCTTATAGAATATGGGTTAGAGGAGTCCGCTTATCTTCTAGTCGCAGCTTGCCTGCAGGTTTTCTTGAGAGAACTTCCCATGTCGATGCAAAACCCAAACGTATCAAGTCTTTTCTGTAGTTCAGAAGGGAGCAAAAGGTTAGCTTCGGTAGGACATGCTTCCTTTTTACTATACTATTTTTTGAGTGAGACTGCCATGAAGAATGATATGAGATCAAACACAACGGTGATGCTGTTAGAAAGATTAGGGGAGTGTGCAACTGAAGAATGGCAAAAGCAACTTGCGTCACACCTGTTGGGTTGCGTGATGCTTCAGAGGAAAGAGTATAAAGATGCTCAACAATGGTTCAAGGCAGCTGTTGAGGCAGGCCATGTTTATTCATTAGTCGGTTTCGCCAGAGGAAAGTACAAGCGTGGACACACTTACAAGGCATATAAGCTGATGAGCTCACTCATACATGACCACACACCATGTGGATGGATGTATCAAGAACGGTCTCTGTATTGCAATGGGAGAGAAAAAATGGTGGACTTGAATGTGGCTACGGAATTGGACCCCACACTCTTTTACCCTTACAAGTATAGAGCTGTTTCAATGGTGGAGGATAACAAAATTGAGGCCGCTATCTCAGAGATCAACAGAATAATTGGTTTCAAGGTTTCTCCCGACTGCTTGGAACTCCGTGCTTGGTTCTTAATTGCCTTGAAGGATTACATCGGGGCATTAAGAGATGTGAGGGCACTGTTGACTTTGGAACCTCATTACATGATGTTCCATGGGAAATTGCAAGGGGATCATTTGGTGGAGCTACTGTGTAATGCAGTTCAGCAGTGGAACCAAGCCGATTGCTGGATGCAACTGTATGATCGATGGTCTTGTGTTGATGATATTGGCTCTCTAGCAGTTATACACCATATGTTGACTAATGATCCGGGAAAGAGTCTCCTACAATTCAGGAAATCTCTTCTCCTTTTGCGGTAAGCAAAACTGTTTTATTGGCTTCTTTCTTAAAGGGTTAATTACATATACTTA